ATTTTGTTATTTATTAGTTATATCACATCCATCCTTCTATAGAATCATGAATGAATACCTACTGCAAATTCAGGCAGATGTAATTTCTTAAATGTCATTCTTTTTATCTGTGATTCAAAAAAGGAATAATAATGGCCTTTAGCAAATTTCCACTTACCTCTGAAGTACACAGTTTTAATTTGCTCAATATATAAAATCTATATAAAGTGACCTTGAAAATTTAGAGAAACTCCTTTAAAATAGTTGTAAGATTTAGTATAGCTCTTTAATTAGAAAGTATCAAGATGCTATGGAACCAGTATTCAACTTTTAGAGAGAAAAATGTTTAACTACTACAATGAAGTCAACCTTGCAAAGCAATGCAATATATGAAAACATTAATGACATGTTTGAATTATTATATGAAACATCCTGTTTATTAAAACAGTGGTTCTCCAAAATTATTGCTGCTAATATATACTGGATATTTTCTTTTGCTTTCCACATCCACCCTGCACCCTTCTTTATAATCCTCTGTGCCCTGACAGACAAATTGCTATTCCCTCCTGACCTTAGTTAAAATATGAAGAGTCACTTTCAGGAGATGGACACTAGTCAGGGAGTGGGGATGGAGTATTTATTTTCAAAATTCCTTCCCTGCTGATCTGCTATATCAAGCTTCTGCTCCCGACAGGAGGCCATTCCCATACAGTTGTCCTCTCTGGATCCTGAAAATTACTCTTGGCCACATCCCAAATTGTTGTAAGTGCTTCCACTATTGGCAAAACTAGGTCTGCATTGTATTCTGTGGTTTCCCTAAATAAAACTTTAGTTAATTTTACTCCATCTGCCTAACTTGAGGGTGATGTTTCCTATCAGAACATTGCTCCTTCAACCATCCTCAACATCCCATAATAAAACCAATTCTTAATAACATAAATACTAATAGTAACATTTTGCATCAAATAAATATTTAATAAATAATAAGAGATGAATACAAAATTAACATATGATCTCAGATTACTAAATAACTACCTGTAAATTTTAAAAATACCTACATATTTCCAGTATAAGTGGTTTGACATTATGTTATAACAAATTCACAGGTAACAAATTACTACTGAAGTTTTATTTCTTAAGAATCGTAAAACAATTCTGTGGTATATTCATGTTAATGAAGGGTTAATATAGTTACTAATATTTATAGATTAAAAATACTGTTGCTGAAAATCTATATAAGCAACTATCCATACAAGGTAGATATATTTAATAAATATTACCTAATAATTATTTGTAATTTTGTAAAATAGAAGACATCTATTGAAAGCCACAACCAGTTCAAGTTTTATGATATAGTGAAAACATATCACTGAAGTCACAGTTGCAGGAGGTGCAAACATAATCATGAGTAGAAATTTAGCATTTTATAGCAATTGGATTTCTTACTAAAGTGTCACAAGAATTCTGATGATAGTAAATATAATTTATTCATATCATATTTTCATTCTTCTTACTGATTCACTTACTAAGTTGCCAGTAAATAGCTTTGAAACATGCATTTAAATAAAATTCTGTAGTGGTACATGTTAGTCATTAGAACTTAGATACATGAGTTAATGTAATCTATTTTCAAGAATTATCTTAGGTGATTTTCATATATTATACATTTTAAAAATCATGCTTTTAATTTGACAATGTAATAAACATGAAATATTTTTAAGGTATTTTCAAAGTAAGTTTTTCTCACATGTACAGCATTAATGTTATATGTTATTTTATATAATGTTAGTTTTACACTTACTATGAGAATCAGTATTTGTATTTGATATATGTACAGATATTTTTTAAACACAGCTTCCCCAGAAAAAGCCTTAATATTCTTAGCAAAATCTGCTCATTTTGAATTAAAATAGTAAAATTTACCTGAATGATTGGACAAAAAAACAGCCAAAGAGCACATTGTAAAATCATTTTAGCATCTGCAAAGTATTGTGGCCGAATGTACACACATGCTTGCATGTGCACACAAAGACATACCCATATAATTACCTTCCTTGCATAAACACGAGGCGCAGCAATTTAAAATTGGGACTACTGGGAGGCAGAATTTTTAAGGAAACTTAAAAGGCAATGTCCCTTTCAAGATGAAGTCAGAGAGTGACTGAAAGTTTTGGCAATGCAGGGAGTACTGACTCTCACAAAGGTTTTAAGAACTAACAATACCCTGTGCGCCGATAATTTTTTCTTTCTCAAGGCTTAGTAGCAACTACTTCATGAAATGTGCTACAAGAGGGGATCTTATTAGGATAGATAATTCCATAAGTAATAACCACACTTTATTCAGTAAGAATCCTGATGCTGTTTTGGCCACTTGTCTCATCATTTCATATTCCAAGTACTAGATAAACCCCAGACTCTGGTTGCCCAGGTCAAACCGCAAAATCTAAATCTACATACTGCATGGCTAAGGCTGGGGATGGGGATGGGGTGGGAAATAGTCAGTTTTCACCATTCCTATCTGTTATAAATAACTACTCTCTCCAACCCCAGAAACACCGTGTCTTTCCAGTGACAACCATTTCATTTGCATTTGATGTCTTCAGCTCTCTGTGCCAGTGGTTTTTCACGAGGCCACATTTTAGCTGATAGATGAATTTAGAGGGTGAGATGCACTGGCTGTCTTGAATGGCAACATCTTCTTGGCTCCATGGTGGTCTTAGGACCTTTCTTTCCCATGGAGTCTCTCTCCAAATTGTATCTCCAGTAGAATATTCAGATTTTTTTCATGGTGGTTCAGGGCTCCCATAGTGCAAAGGTAGAAGCTTCCAGGTTGTCTTTTGTCTTAGGCAGAGAATTGGGACAGTATTACTCTCTCCATATCCTAATAGTTCAAACAAGTCACAGGCCAAGCCTAGATCCAGGGGAAGGTGAATTCATAGGTTGTGAATGTCAAAAGATGTGATCACTGGGAGCCATCGGTGTACCAGACTGCCAAACACACAGCCAACCTGTCTAGTTAGCTAGATTTACCAAGTTCTACAAATGGACCCTAAATTTAAGAATACTTTGGTTTGACACACCCATTCTAATACCGCCAACTGGAGATGAAAGAAACACAACGTCATTATGCAAATGTATAACCATTCAATGGCATCCTCTATTAATGAATTTGAGCAGTGATCAGAGAGGAGGGAGTAGATACTAACTTTCCTGCCTGAGTTCATTTCCAATTCTATTTTAAGATTAGACTCCTACACAACTATTAATATTTGATGATACTCCAAATATAACTGCATGATGCTGAATTGACACACCTACTCTTCTTAATATAAAGGTAACCAGATTTATAGTGATGATCAAGAAATGAGATTTATAATCTCAAAATACATGTAAAAATTAGTGTTATTAGTATATAGTAATTTACTAAAATAAAATAACTAAAGTCATAAAAATAATTAGACGGGGGGGTCCTTGAATTTGTTTAACTAAATGATGTGATATAGAATCTTGATAGAAATCAAACTCCAAAAATCATATTTTCCTTTTCACTTATTAAAGAAAATAATAAAATTGGAACAACTAATATTCTTTTTCCTACAATGTAAATTGCACTTTTATCTTTGGGTTGACATCAGCAAGCTTGAGATGTGGTGTACTCTGCATTGAAATATTTGAAACAAGTCAAATCTTATACATCCATCAGTTCCCTGAGAAAGGAGTACCTGGTTAATGAAGACTCAGGTTTTATGACAGACCTTGTGAGGTTTACCACTAAGAATAAAACTAGTGACTGGATAGACCAGTGAAATACTGCCTGGCTATATAGTAAGGACAAGAGAAATGCTATTCTTAGTCAGAAAAGTCTCACTTGGAATCCAGAAAGGAGCATGGTGAGGTTAAGGGAAAAGATGGAGAAATAGCAATGCTGTTTGATAAATGTCTTCACATAATAATCATCATATCTGCCACAGAGCTTCTGTTCCATTTTAAGTTTGGCTTTAATGTAGCTCAACTTGTCTATAGCCTGGCCCCTTTACACTGACTATAGGCAAGTATATGTAGACTGACCTTCTACACTTAAAGAACCCAGACAGTTTTGTGAGTCACGTCTTTGCAATTTGTTTGGCTTTAACACTTAAACTAGGCAAGTGGCAAAACCTAGAAGGGCCACACAGTGCCCTGAGGACTTTTGACAGGGGGTTCTTGCATTCTCATTTCTGTTAGAAATCTTTAATATGAAATAGTGTAATACATAGTAAGATTAGGAAATTTCACTGTTTTATTTTAATAATAACTGCTTTCATAAACTCTCATGGATCAGTCCTAACACAGTGACTGCTTAGTATGGAGTTAAGTTGTATTTCAGAACTTGGGTAAACATTTTATTCTGTTTATTTCCTTACTAAACACCAAAATCCCATTGCACATAAAAATGGGTCATATTGGTGGATTACCTCCAAGAAAGACAAACAACAAAACAAAACTAACACAAAAACAAGTAGAGTAGCTAACAGTCTGTTAGCTAAAGTTTTCACTCTCAAGTGGATCAATAAACTCCCGAGCCTTAGGAATAACTGTGCTTAAAAAAAATGTTCACACTTTCATCATCACATAATCAATACAACAAATAAACTGGTTGACAAATCCGTTTCTACCTATTTCCCTTCTTCCTACTCTGACTCCAGCAAAGGCCCCACTTCAGTGAGCTCGACCATCGATCTTTCTTTCTCTCGCCCATCCATTTCCCTTGTCACTGCATGAGTATAATTTTAAGAAACATGTAGACACACACAACTTACAGAGAATAAAAGACACAAGTACACACACACACATGTAATTTTATTGTATATACAATTATATCTACAAATGCACATATATAATTATGTATGTTATTATATATGTATATATATATGGTGATCTCTTACCTGATATGAAATGTGTTATTTTAAAAAGTAGGTACACAATTATTGTCTCTTGATCAAAAGGTTGAACCCACAAATTTTCTGCTTCATTTCATGCAGGGGAGTAAAGGAAAAGAGATTTTGCCATTCTCTTCATTCTCTCGAAGTATTCCCTAAGGGAGAAGAGCAAATGAACATGTATGAACAAGTCACTATGCTGTAAGTCACTTTCAAAGAACATTCTGTCTCTTTCTGGCTCCTCTTGTACTTGCTGCAAGCATTTAAGGCAGGCTGGCTGTCCTGATCTCTTTAGTGAAATGGATAAAGTGAGCTATATTCTTTCTAGAGATATGGTCTTATTTCTTTCATTCTTTCTCCAGAGGTATACCAAATTATTCTTTTACAAACATATAGAATGGGAAAGAGGGAATAGGAATAATTTAGTCTCAAATGTAAACTGTGATTTCTAACTCAACCATAAAACTTTCCATTAAAATACCAAACTGGTGATCAACAACCAGTCTTTTATTATTGTTTAGCTTCCCTGAAGGGAGGAATGAATTATATATATAAGCTCTAACAAAATTGGCTTTATTTAAATTGTATTAACTTCAATTTAAATAACATTGCAATAAGAAAACTTAAAAATAATGACACAGAAATCAATGTATAGTAGGTAGTCTAGGTTATATCTAGCAAGCATTTCTGCACTTCCTGCTTCTCAGTAGCCCTCATCCATTTGTGTCCATTCCCACCTCCAAAAGTAGAGGAGTACATAAACAGAGTATTTCAGTGCCCTGGCCAAGTGTGGCTACGGGATAGACATGAGTCTAAGATATTTCAGTAAGTGTGAGTATTAGGACTTTGGGAAAAAGTACTTGGACAAAGATAGCCATGTCCAGGAGCTTGTGGTAATCATCTTACAATCACAAGCACAGCCCACTTTGCTAAAGTTGATATTGCAGTCAAGGCAAAGAGACATAAAGCAACTGAGCTATTGGGGATATTATTGAGTTGTTGAATCATGTCAAATACACCTCTAGGCTTCCCATGTATGTGGTATCTCTATCTTTGTATCTACATTCTTTAACAGTTTGAGTCAACTTTTCTGTTGTTGTAACCAACATTATGTAACTGATATAGTGTTATTGTGTTTGTCAGAGGAGATTTTTAAAAACAACGTCTCTGATCTATTTGAGCTAGCATTTGTCTCTTCTCCCCATATTGTCCTCCTCCCACTTACAACTGTATTTCTCCAGTGAGAGCTGCAAATGTATTATATGATTCTAACTCTGATCATGGGAAGATTAAATGCTATCAATCTGAACCATATTTTTTTTCTGATTGGAAATAAAGAGAGTTTGTGGTAGTAGAAATTGAGAAGTATGAAGCTCACGTGCTCTTGATAATTGTATTTCCCACTTTGTAGATGAAACTGCTCACTGTTTGTAGGCAATAAAGTGAAGTTAATACGAAGATAATTACAAAGCTGAGGGTGGAGTGTGAGTCCTCACAGCATCAAATCTATGTATTGACTAGTCCATGGCTTCTAATGACGTCCTACTCTTTCCAGAGATGAGAGCAAAACAATTCTCATTTTGAAATTACGTTTCCATGATTTGAAACTGCAAAATTATTGACAAATATATTTTAAAGAATTTTAAAAGTAACTATCTTTGTAATTACTCATTTCTTACTTTTATAGCTTTAGGGGTATATGTGATTACTGGTTACATGGATAAATTGTATAGTGGTGAAGTCTGAGATTTTGCTGCACTAGTCACCTGAGTAGTGTGCATTGTACCCAACACGTAGTTTCTTACCCTTCATCTCCCTCCCACTCTCCCCCTTCTGAGTCTCCAGTGTCCATTATACTACTCTGTATGCCTTTGTGTACCCACAGTTTAGCTCCCACATATAAGTGAGAAAGTAAGAATATACAGTATTTGGGTTTCCATTCCTGAATTACTTCATTTAAAATAATGCCCTCCAGCTACAGTCAAGTTGCTGCAAAAGACTTTAAAAAGACTTCATTTTCTTCTTTCTTACAGCTGAGTAGTATTCCATATATATGTGTGTGTGTATATATATAAAATGCATATATAACAGGCATATGTATATAATATGTATACATTGTATATTTTACACATATATACATTATAGATATATACATTATGTATATACATATTTATTTACACCCCAACACCCCACACCACATTTACTTTGTTGACTTTTGAGGATGTATGTGTCCTGTTCTCAAGGCTCCCAGCAGCAGGTACCAGCACCAGCTTTGATGTGAGTGGCAAGGGAGGGACACAGACTCTGTGAGATTCTTTGGGTATGAATAGCCTTAGTATGTAGACTTTATCAAATGCCAGTTGTAGTCGTTAAGAACTTGTCATGTGGACAGACCCTGGACCTCCTGGCTAGCCAGCATGATGCCGGCAATGATGATAGCTGAGGTCACACACAAGTTTTCTCCTTCCTGGGCATTGCATTATTGTGCCTGTGGATGCAGCAATGGAATGTTTCAGCTGGCCTCCAGGCAAAATCGCCCCAGCATAGGATTTGTATTGTCTTATTCTGCCTCAGGGAAGTACTCTGCTGTCACAGGCAATGGGCAGGGCCATAGATCCCCCAAAAGTTTCTGCCCTTTATGTTAAGTAAGCTACCACAATGGGTGAAGGGGCAAAGCTAGCAGGGGACTATGCCAGTCAAGTCCATGCTCTGGATGCCCATGTGCTGGTACAAGCAGCAGCCACAGTGGGAATCAAAGGGCAGTCTTCTAGCCACAGGGGTAATGTTCCAGGAAGGAGTGCAACTGCCCCTGATGCACAGAAAAGTCCCCGTGAGAAGTGGAGAGTAGCAGGTGGCAATAAAATCCACCCAACTCCCATGCACTTGGCAAGTCAGGTCTCACACACACAGTGTTCCACTAGCAACAGCTAGCTAGGTTCCAAGGCAGTCTGTGCCCAGAACTCAATGCTGCCACAGGCCATATTCCTTTACCCCAAGAAAACCTGTGGCTTTTAGACCATGGCCTTCCTGGTCCCCACACAAACCAGGGCATCTAGCTCCTATGCCTGTGGCTACAACATACTTTTCACTGATCCCTTGGTTCTGGCTAAGTGAGTTTGTCCCTGATTGAGATTATATCACACATCTCAGTTGTAAGCTTCTCTCAGCCTGTGGCTGCCTCCTGAGTTAGCTGGCTATCTTCTGTGAGGACCCCTGTGAGGTAGGATCCGGAATGGCTGGCTACCTTCCATTCTCACCTGAGTCTGGGAGTGCCTGCAAAGCAGGACCCAATGTTGTTACTACTGATACACTTCCTTCTGCTCACTAAAGCCCTTCCAGTGCTGGGTAGGGTTAAGGCCTTCCCCAGTGGCCTGGATTGCCATGTTCCCCAGTGGGAGTGTATATTCCAGAGGCAGTTTCTCCTCCTCTTATTCTCTGGGGACTTACAGTTTTCCACTTGGCTCACAGTGTAAGCTACAGCCCTCCGCTTTTTTCAAAAGAACTGTGGTTTCTTTCAGTTTTTCTGTTAAATTCCTGCATTGCTTCTTGAAAAACAAGTTCTCAACATGAGCCCTTACACATTATTTTGTCTCTCCAAGTGGGACAGCCATGATAACAGTGCTTTCAATCTGCCATCTTGAGGGACAAAAAATGTAAGTCCTCTCTTTTCAAGCTACTGAAATATGGTATCTATAATTTACATTAGAAACTTCTCTTTTTTCTTTTAGTACAGTTGTTTAAATACTTAGATGATTTAACTTTTATGTATCCATACAGCATTTTAATCCTCACATTTAGGGAAACAAATACATTTATATGAAGTAAATGTTTGGGTTCTAAATCTGATCTTAGGATTTTAAAACAAGTTATAAAGTTCTCAAGAGATGGTCTTGTTATCTACAACATCAGCAGAAAACTCTGAAGCGAGTTACAAACTTGCAGGTACAATAAGACTAGTGATTACTATTCTGTACATAAACATCAGGAGTTTTCCAAGTGGCAGTTAAAAGCTTTTTTATAAAAAGAATGCATACAAGAATTTTTTTCTGTGAGCATTACATATAAAAGCATGAATAACTTGGCAGAAAATCACAGAACAATAGGCTAACACTTGAAAAAAGCATTTTGGAGAGTGAATATTTATTTACTTAATTCAGTTCCATTTCTCAGACTGAAAAATAACCTTGAAATAACATCTAATAGTCATTGAAATATCCAGTGGGACAAGTGATCCTTACTCCTTCTTGTCACTTGCATATTCATTATATTTTATAATTTTATTTGTTTCAGGAAATGCTGAGTATATGTTTCTTGACCAAATATTTATATTGGACATGTGTTCTTTTTTTATACCCACATTACTTGTCCAGATGGTTAAATAGAGTGAGTTTTGAGAACATCATTTACCACAAAATTATTGAATAATGCAGAAACAAATGTGAAAACTGTTCTAGAATTCAGAAAATTATTGTAATACTTAGTCTTTAGGAAAAATGTTTAATTGTTTAAGCATTATTTTGGAAAAAAAATCTTAACTTAAATTCAAAGTTTACCCTCACTAACTGTACAATTCGAAAACTGAAGCCAACATAATTTCCTGTCTCTATGTTGGACAATATTAGGAATGGGGATACTTTCCTTTTATTAGGTTAACTAATACTGAGAATAAGCAAAGTCAACTTAGCTACTTGCTTCAGTAAGTGCTTGCTTCTAAAAGATAAGACTGTGAACCAACTTAAAATAGCTTATTTAATAGGACAAATTGGTTGCTATCAAGGATTGCTTCAAGACTCTTGATTACTATGGCAAGAAATCTAAAGCAATTATGTAAAACTATAATTTCAACCAATTCTTTGTCTTGCAAAACTTTGCTTAAAATTCAAAGCCCAGGATCTGATATCTTACAAATGATTTTCTTTGGTGTTTCCCTTCTGTTTCACACTACTAAGAAAAAAATAAAGGTGATTTCCTTCCACTGCAATAGGATTAATAAATTTAACTTTGGTTATTCAACATTGTTGTTGAAAGGATTACAATTAATTAATTTTTCTAAAGCATCATTTATGTATGAGTAATATTACATCAACCCTTTAGTATAAAGAAACCTCTGTATCCACATATCCAAGATTAATATTCTTATATCCCCTCTGAAAATTCTATATGTCTAACATTTCTGCTTGTCTAGACACCAAGACAATTCT